GGAACCGTAGGTCACTCGGGAAGGCCCTACCCGAGCAGGCTAATACCCCGATGGGACAGCTATCTACCCTTTTCACTTAAAGGTGTTCACAGGTTGGGTTGGGGGTATTTTTGGGACCAACCCGAATTTTCGGGTTTCCTTGTGGGAACCGTCAGGTTGTAAAACGATGGCCAACCCAACCCAATAAATTTGGGTTGGGTCAGGTTGGGTTGCTAGGTTCTTTTTTTAAATTGATTAATTAATTTACTTTTGTTTTGTTTATAACATGGACCAAAAAAATATTGAAAAATCAAAATCTTAATTTAAACACAAATTCAAACCTTAATTGAAACCAACATGTAAGTCCTAATTTAATACAAATTTTAAAATTTTTACATTATCCAAAGTTTATCTAAAGTCCAAATCCAAATTGAAACCAACATGTAAGCCTTAATTCAACAATATTAAAAGCTTACACTTTATTATAGAGAGAGATATGGGGGAAAGGAAGATGAATTGAAAATGTTAGAAAAGAGAGAGAATCAAAGATTCAAAATGGGGAGGATTGAATTGAAACCTAAAATCAATGGTTGAAATTTAATAAAATGGATGGATGAGATTGAATATAACAAATAAGATTTTAATTCATAATTATTAATTTATTATGTATATGTAATATTAGATTATTAGTAATATGAAAAAAAAAAAACTTATAATCTCAAGTCGGGTCGGGTTGACTCGAGATTTTCAAGGGTCAACCCAATACCTGACCCAACCCGATCGGGTTGAGATTTTTCCAACCCAACCCAACCAGTTGGGTTGGGTTCGTCGGGTTCCTTGAACACCCTTACTTTCACTGCTACAAATGCACCCCCGCGAACTACGCCCAAGTATGCAAATCTGTCTGACGCTGATCTGTTGAGCTCGGATTATTACTAACTTGGGTGTCGGAGTGGCCTATCTGTTTTGCAGTTACCCCTGAAGAATACTCCAAGTGTTGCTAGCCGACCTCCCAGGTCGTCCTCCGTGCCTTGACAGATTTTTGCTTCAACAGTAGCTATTATATTTCACAATGTTATCTATTAGTGATTGTTTGCATGTTCATCTATTATTAGGTCTATTATTGATAATAGACCATCAATAGAATAAATATGGTATATCACTTATCAATGGTATTTAACTTTGGTTTCATTGTTTGCATGTTCATCTCTTAATAGGTCTATTATTGATAATACATCATCAATAGAATAAATATGGTATATTACTTATCAGTGATATTTAACTTTCGTTTCATATCAATGTTGTCATGCTCATTTACTATTAGGTACATCATTGATATGTCTTATCAATAAAATATAAATGGTATATCAATAGTACTTAACTTTTGTTTTCCATCATTGATTATTTGCATACTTATTTGCTATTATGTCTATTAGTGATATACTTCATCGATACATATAAATGACATATTAATGATTATTTTTAGTGACAAGGTGAATGTCCTTTTGTTGTTAACATCTTTACCTAAATGTGGGAAACAATAAGAGCGATGTGTCCAATTTTAGGAGACATATGTCTAAAAATTTTCATAAATTTGTGATTCGACAATTGCTGGAGAAATTTAGAAGGAGAGTGGAAAATAATCTACTCCCAAACAAGACTCATCATTGACTATTTAATAAGGTAAAGAGAAAGGTGTGTTTGACGAAAGACATCAGAAGCATAGGAATTGGAAAGTCGAATGTTTTTACTGCCACAAAAAGGGTCATATTTAGTAGGAAATACAAATATAGATGGTGCCCTCTGTGTTGAGAGGAACACAAAAATAGGAAATCAGTCATCGAAGTTGGTAATAGACACTGCAACTTCAATACTCATATCTTCAAATAGGAGTTTGTTCACATCTTCAAAAAATCCAATCACGGCCAAGTAAGGATGTGGAATTGGTAACTTTTTGAGACTGGAGGGATTGGAAATATTCTATTAAAGACTAATAGTTGGACTGATTTTACTTTTGCAAAATGTTAGGTATGTACTCAATATCATAATGAATCTTATCTCTACAGGTAAGTTGGACAATGATGGTTATCAGAGTGAGTTTGGTAGAAATTAACTAAAGTATTCAAGGTGGTGACAGTGGGCCATAGAAGATCTACAGTTTACACGTTGCGATTGAGTATTGTCAGAAGATCATTGAGATGATGGATGCAAGTTGCAGATGGTGTCCAAAAAAGTAGGAATGAGCCCGCAACAAAGATAGTCAAAACAGATCAAGAAGATCCACCGTCAATTCAGGAACAACAATTGAGAAGTCAGAGAACAAAAACAAGTTTGATTTTCTCCAGTTGTTAGACGAATGAGTGAATTGATGAAGTCACGTAAGCAAATAGTTGCATCAGAGAAGATTAACCAATAGGTACTGAGGTAAAGAACGAAGTTTCAATTTTGGCAGAAAGTTTGAATAGAGTCGTCAAGTCATTAGTGGGAAGTTTTTCTTTCAAGAACCAGTGTTTGAGAACAAAGAAAGAAGTTTAAGATACCGCCACTTAATTTGAGTGAGAACACGTAGTTGTGTCTTTTGCGTCTGAGAGACAAGACCACGTAGATTGTCCAACCTCATGACAAAGATAAATGAGAGCAGTATTTTCTGATATTTTGTTTTACAAGTTTTTAACTTGCAGGAAAAGCCTTGAAGTTTTAAAGAAGATTAGAAAACTGTTTCAAAAGAAGACTTGAAGATATTCCAAGATGATCACAGATTGCTATTGCAATAGAAGGCAAGATTGTTATTTTATCTCCAAGTGGAAGATTGTTGGGATAATGGAGCCAAAATAAAAGATTTATCTTCTACGAGGAAAAAGATTTTCAACGCTACTACGAATTCCTACGATGAGTAACATATTACTTCCTTATAAGGATTAATATATTTTTTTTCTTATTTGGCTTTTTATAAATATAGCCTTTTGTTGATATTTATTTGTACGAAATCAAAATAAAAAAGACTTGAGTGGTTGTGAACAGTGTGTGAAAAGAAAGTCTATATCTTGTAGGTGCCATTGTTAAGGTAAGATAGTCAATATATAATGATATCTTGAGTGAAATCTCATTGTAATATTCTCAACTATAGTACAAGAATATGCTTTTGTAGAAAACTAGACATAGTTCCAATATCGGACGAACCAATAAGTTCATAAGTTTCTGCTATATTAATATGCCCTAGAAATGACATATAACACAAAACTAAACTAGAACCTATAAAGTACTAACCAAAAGCATAAAGAAAATAAAACGAATGAAGAAAATTGGATTCTCCCTAAAAATGCATTTAGCCGCAACCTCCTCCAACATCTCACTTTTCTCTCAAAATCTCAGTATATAGGTCTTGATGTCATCACAATGCGTAGACACTTAAATGCATGTTTTGAAAATAACTGCTTCAGAGTTGTGAACGCCAAGAAATTGTTTTTTAATCCTTATCTTCCAGATCTTTTTTCTTTTCCTTGCTTGGAAAACCTCTAAAGTTGCATCTCCAAAGGCTAATTACCCTTCACCTGAAAAAAAAAAAAAGGAATTAATATCAATAAACTTAAAGAAAAGGTAACCTAAACTAGACATGATAAAATTCAATTATCAAGATCAAACTGGGATCATATTTGGGCAAAGTGCTAATGACCAAATTCTTGGAAAGTCATGATCCTAGGAGACCGGCTACGCACCTCCTTACCCTAAAACAGTGAGAGAACGAACGGGTTTTTCTAGGACTACATCGCTTGGTTCCGAGTCGAAACCTTCGCATCGAAGGTGTTTCCGATGACACAACATATTCTACCTTCACGCTAGGTTAAAGGATAAGAAACTAGTGTGGTTCCTAGAGAATAAGCTTGCCTCTAGTTACGCAGACCTCCTTAAGAGTCTCGAGTAGTACTTGCTCAATCGATTCAGACTCAAGAATGGGGATAATGTTGTGGTTGAATTATCAACCTGCTGTGAGGTGGAAGGATTGGAATGTCATATGGTGGCAAATAGATCGAGCACCGACCTATAGGAAAACTCAAGCTAGCAATGGGACCGAGAAGGGCTTTATCGTGGCTTGTCCCTTAATGACAAGCCGACACATTACGCCTAACGAACATGAATACAACTTGACACGCTTATGTGTTTCAGGTGTCAGGTAAAGGAGACCACTATAAAGGGTGAAGAAACAACCATATCAATTATGTGATCCCCACCCAATTGACCTCAACTTCTCTAATTCACGGACTAACTTAGGCATCGAAGTGTCGTGGGCTCAATACTACATTAGTGCAAAAAATTTTCTTTAGTTGCAGGTTGCTAGACCGTCAACTTCCATATCCCAAATCGTGCATCAACATAAAGTTGCTCATTCACTTGCAACCCATGGAAGCACCCCAAAGTTTCCCCCACAATAGGCGTCGTGGCCAAAGGAATATAACATAGAATATGTGATCCGCATAGAGTGCATTTCCCTCTCTGCTTCCCGGGCTTAACCAAAGAACTCCGGAGCCAGAAATTCCTCTCTCACCTTCTCCTCATGGACCTCTTTCTCAAATTCAAAGCCGCCTTGTTTCTGCATCACCACCTTCAAACAACACATGATCCTTGATATGCCATCACCCCCACCTCCACTTCCACCGCCACACCCCATCTCCAATCTTACCCACCTAAACAAATCCACGCCTCTTCCTGATTTTTGGCTCGCAGCTCTCTCTCTTTTCGTTTTCTTCTCTTCCTCCTCCAAATCCTTCAAATTCCCTCTTCTCCCTTTTCAATTCAACCCTCATCGCCGCTTTCTGAAGATACCCTCCATGTCTCTCTCGCATCCCCACCCCAAGACACGCCTCGACAATCACCACTTCGCATCTCCTCAATCCCTCTCCGATTGGCTCGGACCCCGCTTGCCCTCCGACTCTTTTGCTTCCTGGGGTGTAAAGCCTGGCACCAAGAACGTCCACAACCTCTGGCTCGAGATCTCAGAAGGAGAAACTTCCCTTGCCGACTCCAATCCTCCCATTCGCACCGTTCAGGTTGTTTCTCTTCGAATTCTTGATAAACATAACCGGGTTCTCGTCGAATCCCACCAGGAACTCTCGGATGGCACCCTACGGAATCGAAATCGACCCTTGTCGGAGAAGATGAAGCCGAATGAAACCCCTGAATCCGCGGTCTATCGGGCAGTGAAAGAAGAGCTCGGTTCCATTATTGGCGATCTCGATTGCTGCGAAATTGTGAGGATTGTGCCAAATTCGTATAAAATGAAGATTGAGGAGCGGAACTCGGTTTCATACCCAGGTTTGCCTGCTTGTTACGTTTTGCATTCGATGGATGTTTGGGTGGAAGGTTTACCCGACGAGGAGTTCTGCACGGTGGAGGAAGAAGAATACGAAAAATCTGAGGAGACTGAGATTGCCCACAAGGCTGCTGTGTCCGTGAAGAAGCATTTCTGGAAATGGGTTAGTGCCGATTCTGTGGATTCTTGAGTTTTTACATCATCATTTCCAGTCCTGCGATCCCTAATTACTTGTGCAGTGGAAAGAAGAATATTATATCTTTTATTCTATTTAGTGGAAGGAAACGAGTTTTAACCTTTTTTCTTAATCTAGATTGATACATATAACTACATATCCTCCATGCTTCTTTCCCAGCACTTGTTCTACTTCGTTCGTTTGTGAATTCTTGTGTTGCATTCATGCCTGTGAATCTATGCTTTTGATCTCAACTTGTAGAAGGGCTAATGGCTTGACATGAATTCCTAGTAAGATGTTAAAAATGAAAAAAGAGACTGCAGCTGATGAAGCTTATATTTTTCTATTTTCTTAAGGATTATGTGATGAATTGCAACTTCAGGTGTGATGTTATAAGTTCTATAATGTCTATTTGTTTCAAATTTTTGTTCTGTTCCACTCTAATTCCTCATGTTGCCCTGACATGGATCTGTTGGAACTCCAATTTTCAATTAGCACCTTGATTTGTGGGATCAATATTGTAGATGACAATTTTTAATGACAACAAATGAGGACTTGATTACCAAGGATACAACTCTAGCTTGGTAAAGAGAGATTTGTTTGTTAGTTTCTAAAAAGAGTAGCAGAATATGATAGTGTGCATTGGAGCCATAACAAGTTTCAATCACTCACCAGATGAAGTAATTAATGAGTAAAGTGAGATGTATAAAAATATAAGTTTTTCAAGGCAAGAATAAGGCTCTATTTGAAACTTTTCTTTTACAATGGGCTGTAGATTTGTAGCTGATGGTGTAATACTTCTACTCGCCATAGTCGAGGGCTCGACATGTCAAGTAGTTTGATCCTTAAATTACAAGTTTGGTCCTTGATATTTTTAAGATTGTCTGATTAGTCTTTATACTTTTAAAAGTTTCAAATGGATCCATCCACTTTTGAGGTTGATTGTGTAACTCCATTAGTTTAACAATTACATCATCAAATGTTCGAACCTTCTCGAAATCAACTAGTCACATGATCATTATATAATGCATTTAGCGTACCATAAAAACATTAAACCAACATAGATCATTATATAATGCATTTAGTGTACCATACAACATTAAACCGACATAGTTAATAAAGAGGATTTATTTGGTACAAAATTATATGTTTAGCCACCTACTAACAACGTTTTAAAGTACATGAAGACACAATTTTAAATCTTTAGATATTTATTAGAAACCTTTTAAATTATAGGGATTAAATAGATACAATTGTAAAAATCTAGACAACGTCGGGGATTGTCCAAAGCTGCCACGGATTAAAATATCGATGATCGATGTTGATATCTCCATTAAGAATTTGTTTAAAAATTTTCTGGAAACAGAAAATTTTTAAAGATAGTACAAATAAAACACTTATAAAAAGTGTGTTTGATTCAAGTAGGTCATGTTTTAACATTTTAAAGATAGTACAAACAAACCTGATTCTTATTTGGTGTGCAATGGGTTTTGAAATGATATTTCAAATCAACAATACTTAACATCCATCCAAGAACAATATTTAGTATTGACTTATTAACACTTATTATACTTTTTACCACTTGACAGTCTTTCAATTTTTTTTAAGAACCAAAACAAAAAAGGAAAAAAATCTTTTAATTTTTTTTAAGAATCAAAAAAAAGAAAAAGGAATCTTTTATGTGTGTCAAAATTTTAATGGTAGTCAAGAAAAGACGAAGGATGACAGATCAACACTTAAGTATTATTCAAGAAAAAAAGTCATTTTTTCTATTTTTGAAAAAAAACTAAGAGTAGTCAAATTTTTAACGATCGTGTGTAGGAAGATAGGTGTTGGTTTCCTATCGTCCAATTATTTCTTTTGTTTTAAAGAATGATATCTAGGTGGTTAAGCAAGATTAAAATGTTGTCCTTCACATTGTTCGAGGTCTCCCCTCCTTTTTGGTAGCGTAAACCAGCTCAAAGCTCTCCTTCTCCAGTCTCCATGGACTTGTTTGTATGATTTGGTTTGGTGTCTTATTGCACGTAACGTGTTCGTCTGTGATTGGCCAGTCTTTTTGAAATTTGCTAAAAGTTGTCTTACTTTTTGAAATCTATGGCGTGCCACTCAACCCATATCTCTAATTTCTCACTTTCCTTTTTGAAATCCCAAAAGATTGTGGGGTGATCGCTGAACAGACAACTTACTGGGTTTTCCCTGGAGTAAAGGAAATGATTGGCAGCTTTCAATCTACTGTATTTGATCCGATCAATAGAAAACCAAGTTCAATATTGCTTTGTATTCCTTGTATCTCAGAGTTTGAACATCAATCATGGTTATACAATAATCAATTAAGATACACGCAGGGGCAGGGCAGAGAGTGGAGAAGCATGTAATGTACAGAGTACAGAGCAAGGTAAGAAAGTGGTAGTCTATTATATTACAACCATATAATTTGATTGGTATGTGAGGGAGGCTGAACATAGCAAATTTCTGGAAAATATTTGGCTCCTTGATAGACCATTAAATATTTGACAATTAAGAGAGAAATGAAGTTGAATTATCCATCTTGGTGACAAAGACAAGAGTTGTTCCTTACTATTAAAGGGTTGTGGAGCAACGAGTTGGTTGGTTAAGGCTGAGGGGAGGCGTGGGGAGAGTAGGACCAAATGGCATGACTGCAACGCAATCGACGGTAAAGCGGTAGCGTCCGGAAACCCAAGTCCCGACCTTCCATCGAAGTCGTCCCATGGCTCGGAGACTGAGAAGAAGGCGCCCCGCGGTCTGATCGCGCCCAACCTCGTAGCCGAATGAGGGAGCGACGGGTAGCGTGGTGGCGGCCAAGAAAGCTGTCAACAAATTGGTTTCTTGGTGGGCCTGGTAGAAGGGAGGAAAGGAGGTATCGAGAGTAATCTGTTGCCTCTTGTAAGCTGCGTGAACTTGGAGCTGGTCGTAGTAAATTCCCACCTTCTGATTTGGGTTCTTGGATGAGAGAGTGAGCTGGATGGAGGAGTTGAGAAGGTGAAGGTCTATGAGCTGCAGCTGGTACACGACAACCTCGTTGACACAGAATTGTGGCTTTGAGGGATGTAAGGTTAGCCAGAGAAGCAATATGAGCAAAGAAATGGCGCAGAGAAATGCTGATAGTGCGAGGAACAGCTTCTTGTAACGCTTGTGAATCTTCAATCCTTGCTTGTCGGCACAGTGTTTGGGAGATTTTACGACAGCTAGAGACATTGGCGAGAGAGAGGATATTCGCTGGGACTGGGCTAAGCAAACAGAGAGGAGACAGTGGGGGTAAATAAAGGGGCTGGGGAGAGCCCCATAACAAAAAGTAGCAATAATTAGCAACAAAGTGTGGACCACTCTTACTCTTACACATTTTTTTGACTGGCAGCTTCACCTTCGTCTAGTGGCTAAGTGGGCTTTGGGGTGACGGGCACGCACACACACACGCACTCGTATTTAACTTGTAAGCTTCTCGAATGCAACTTTTGAACTCTAATAATTACATGGCCAAATCCACCTCTCTCCTTTTGGGCCGTTGGACAAATTAAAAATATCAACAACTAATCAAACAATATCCCTTTATTGGTATTGGGATGAATTTCTTTTTTCCTTCCACAGTCATTTAAGGAAAACTAAGTCAATCACACAAAAAGAGTAATATAGGAAAAAGACAGTAAACGACATAGAGAATTCATATTGGTTCACCTAATTATGGACTCAGTCTTCAGCGACAATGGGTTCTACCATGATCTTGGGATAATATAAAGGACAATACAATAATCTCTCAAATCTAGAGGCCTCGACAAAAGTCACATAACTTTTAGGAACTAGTCCTAGGAAATAAGAATGAAAAGCCTTACCAAATACCCACGAGAATTGGTTGCTGACGTGCTTTACAACCTCGGGATCTCACCTCTGAATCTCTGTCAGTACACTGCTCTCAGCCCTCTGAAACTGTGCACCAACACTATTCTAGCCACCACTCAATTATGCACCAACATAATTAAATTAACCTAAGTGAAAAGATCATATTTAAAGAAATTTCATCACAGCGTGTAGCGTTCTCAATGCTACGACCACTGCAGCGTCTTTTAACATCTGTCCGCACCCCTTTTTTTTCTAAAATTCCGTGACAGCGTCATGACACTGCAGTCTCAGCCAAATGGCCCTGTAGTAGACCGCTTTTGTTTTTCATCCTTTCTTTATTTTCCTCCATTGTCCTGGCTCTGTTCTAAAGTCGATTTGGCTCCATCAATCTCAACAAGTATTGTGCCAACAAATCATGGTACATACCATTAGCAGTCCATCTTTGTTACGAGAGCAAAAGACAAGCACATCAAGAGTTAGTGGTGAACAAAGTAATTGAAAAATGATCCCAATTTGCAAGAGGAGAGCCAAGAGGTGTGTTAGATATGCTTAATACCAGCTTTCCATAGAATGGTACAATGGGAAACAGACGGCGACACACCCATCATTTGTTTGGAATCCACTGTAGAGATGCATTAGTTGATGGGCCATACACATTTTCATTTGGTAGCCTTTATCATGACTTCATTCCATTACATACTCCTGTATTTTGTAACTCACAATCACCATACAATTATAGGATAAGCCACCAGGAATCTTGCAAGCTCAACATTAACACAGAGTGCTGAATTATATATATTAAAGCAAAAGCATAACTTTTTGCATATATGAAAAACCAGTCCCGTTCCCATCTCTCAACATCTTTAATTTGCTCAATTTGCGGGAGTTCTTTTGGCAAGGAAAAGCCATGAAGCTGAATGATTAAAAGCGTGTCATTTATGAATTTTTTGGTTAAACAAAAATTAAGGGGAAAGAAGACAATCAAGACGTCATGAGTTCAAATTCCCACCTCACCCTCCAATTCTATTCCATGTGTGTTAGATGTTAGGATAAGATGGGCGACCGGCGTTGCTTTTGAGTTAAGGAAACGTTTAAATTTCAAGATCTTGAATAACATTGGTTGGGGCCTCAGCTGTATGATAGTTTTCGTTTCAGACCAAAACAATGAGGTGAGGCCATGCCGGTGAATGGTGTGTTGGTATTGGTGATGGCCTGATTGAATGATGAACCAATCCAAAAGCAAGTGCTTTGCTTGATTGAAATGTGTGGGTAAGTGGAGAATATTTCAGGGTTGATTTTGAAATTCAAGTGGGCCATGGGTAGTGACTTCAATTTTTGGGGTTAACTTTGGTGTAGCTTTTGGACCCTTTTTCTTTCTCTTTATTATATAACATTTTTTTATCTGCTTCCACAAGATATGATATGAGTGAGCTTTGAGGCCTTCAATAAAAAACAAAGCAAGTAAAGGGGTGCTTTTGCCTTTAGTGGTTTCTTATCTATCCTTCAGATATCTTAGCTAGTTTTTTTCTTCCTTTTTAAATATATATAAGATCTATTTTTATTATCTTTAATAATATCTAGATCAGGTTAATATTTTCATTTTTGTATGAACAAAAGAGAACTTTTATTTACTAGTGTATGTGTGTAGCCAATTTGTGTGCAATTTCTTTCGTCTAGAACACAAAGTGTGCATAACTTTGTGATGGGATGAGAAGAAGACAGAAGGGGAAGGAAAAGATATAGTTTAAGTAATGAATATGTAATTTGTAAATAAAGGCATGTGGGAAGAGGAAGATGAAAGATACAATTCGAAGTGCAATTTGGTGGCATCACATCAAGCCGTAGCCGTAGGGTGACACTGGCAGATGGACCAAACCCCACACATATTCATAATCACGACCACACAAATTTTGATCACATGAATCGTTAAAACTTCTAAACTAAACCAACAGATAGGATACAAAGTCAATCCACCTGTTTTTCAATAGGGTATTTGCAATGGGTGGAAAAAAAGTTGCCCCGAAAGAACATACCGACCTGGTAATATCAATTTGGTCAAAGAGAATCATCTGAAGAACATGCCGACCTAGTAATATCAGTTTGGTCAAAGAGAACGAATCGGTTTGACCTTACCTTGCTGTTATCTCTATCAATGCGCGTCAATGGCGAGATCGATTGAGCACAATTGGTGGTCATTGCCAGACTAGGCATTGACGAGATTAGGGAGAAAATCTCGGCCTTCTTACTAAAGAGATTCAGCACCAGCCACCTAGAAAAGGTTGGGTATGTTCGAACCCCTTTTGAAATACTTCAACCACTTTAGTATCCAATCATTTTCTCAACTTCGGTATCGAAGTGCTTAACTTTGTTTCACAGACCACTCACCTAGCCTATTCTCCCATGAATTAAACTAATCAAGCTTCTGATTTCAATTAAATTAGTCTCATTCAAGTTACCACATTCTTTAGGACTTGAAGCTTATCTATGGATGATGTATTTCATTAAAACACAAACCTTGGTCGATGGAGGATGCTTCAGTTGTTTTCTGTGGTAAGGTCTCAATTGAATTGAATTGAATTACATCAGTAAACTCACTTCAATAACAAAGACAAAATAAATCCTAACAGACCCAAAAAACTAATATACATATGTTGGAATGAACATGTGTATCTACATGTTAGGATATAAAGAATGTCACTCGTGAAATTTCTAAAATTACACTGCTCTTACACGAAAGATAGAGAAACCTGGGAAGCAAAGCAAAGCAAATAAAATGAATATGGAACTTGGAACTTGGAAGTGGTGACATTGGAAGAAGGCAGCTCATGCTTCCTCTACTTTCCATAGCCAACACTTTGCTTTATCAGTTTCTATTGGTATTAAGTAGGGGAAAGGCAGCAATACGCTTAAGCGCTTATTCAAGGCGTGCCCATTTCCTTGATTCCAACTGCTAAGCGTTGGACATATTGCTGTTGGTTTCTGGAGGCAGTGGATCAGTGTACACTCTACGGACAAACTGTCCCTTCACTCTAGGACGTTGTTCGGCGAGTTTTTTCCTGCTCTCGTACCGCACCTGAGATGACATGTCTTGATAAGAAAACAGCATCGTATAACTAAATAAGATAGTGAAATCACAAGTACCTTTTTCTCATAACATCTATCTTTTCGTTTCAGTCGGAACTTTGTTAGAGCTGCTTCTCTTTGACTGGATCGATGAGAATCTACTCCTTGAGAAAACAAAGCTTCTTCATTTTTGCTCTCAGATGTAACCCTGGAAATGCCAACCCGATCAACGTTGCTGTTGCTCCCACAGGTGCTAGCATATCCCACGGTTCGAATGTGAGTCGCATTACCACCACCACATAGACTACTGTTTGCACTATGATCAGTGGTAGGCGATATATGGCCTTGATTTTCTGCAGACTCCAACCTATGCCCCGGATTTTCTATCTTCCAGTTTGTGGCATTGCTGACGCTGTGATGCTGGTTTAGAAACTGCTCCAAATTATGATTTGCAAAGATGGGTTCTGGATGAGTGACTAAAGCTGGGCATGGAGACGAGGAGGGACCCCGTTGTGTGCAAAAGTTGGGAGAGAGTAAGGAGCCATAGCCTGAGCATTGATTATTAGACATCAAATCTTTCTCTGAATCTTGAAGAGGGATTACCGTCTCTGAAGTACATGATTTTGCAATTTCAGACTGATTAGATTGACCAGTTATCGGAGGCACAGAAGTACTACTCTTTTGCAGACTTAGCGTGGGATTAATGGTATCAGAGGTAGAAGTAGCACCAATAGTCCCACCAATATCAAACATTCTTCCCTCGGTATTGCTTCCATATTCCTTTTGCCCATCACAGATACTGCCTGATTTTGCTTTAGGTGTTTGCAATGGCCTGTAAGTGTATCTGCACGATCACCACACAGTGCTCATCAAATAGAAAGAAAATAAAAACTGTAGCGCTCTGATAATAAAACACAAAGAATCATCTCACAAAAGCCTCTCTCCCATAACTAAGCAAGGACAACGAAAAACTAATTAAGCCATTCAACTCTTTACCAACAAAAAATTGGAGTAGAGATTTAAGGCATCGAAGTTTATTCCCTAGTCCTTGAGTAAGGATAGACCCCATACGCCTGGAATTTTATAGACATACATCAAGTCCTCAAAAGTTCAATTGCACAGCCTCTCCCACTCTGTTGCAAAAGTTTTCATCAATTGAAGATTCAAAGTACAAAACATAATACGGGGCCATATATATACACACTCATAAAAGAGGGAAGGAAAACAAAAATGCTTCTCAAACAAAAGTAGGAACTCAATCAATTGCTTTCAATGCCAAGAGGCAATTCATGAGTCTGATAACCTTTTCCAGAAAGATTAAAACGAGGGACAGGATAGATGAATAGGTTCAAGCCTTTTATCCTGTTAAGGGATGAATTTTTTATTTCAAAGCCTTTGAACTTCTCTGGCAAGAAGCTAGGAAAGCATTTATTTCCATAAGATAAGGCTTACAGTTCGTATTGATGCCATAGTCCCCCAATGATAATACAAACACGTGTGTGTACAGACAAATGAAAGGACAAGGATCAGAACTAAAAAGAAATTGCACCTTGTAAAAGCTGAAGCACTAGAATGTTTGAGGGTAGCCCGCCCTTCTGCACCGCGGTCCTCAAAATCATTAGGTTGACATCTTCTCAGGGAAAGATCCAAATGAATAGCAGAACTGAAATTTTTTATGGCAGCGTTGGTGGAAGGAGAACTTCTTTGGCAGTCATCCGAATACTTGGTGGAGGCATGATTCAAGGCGACTGCATCACTGGACAGGTTGGCAAGTGTATCCTTATTATCGCCCGCTTCATTAGCCATACTAGGACTTATTCTACTATCATTCATTGGCTCAAGACCCATGCTTAGTGTAATTGGTAAATCAGCATTTACATAGCAGCCCATTGCCAATCCTAGTACAATACGAACATTTATAGAAGTTAGAACCCACAAAAAGGAAAAAGAAAAAATACCATATGGAACCACGATAAGTGCATAAATGAAGATGTGCTACCTCCAGTTTCGTTTTCATGCATAGCCAATCTCTGACTCAAATTGATGTGACGTTCATCTTTCTGTAGCCTGAAGTCTTTCGGAGAGGCATTTCCCTGGCTCGGATGTGAATATTCCTGTATCCTACTTCCAACTTCGAAATCCACCTTGGTACAAGAGCTCTGAGGGGCACATTAAACATTAATTTTTCGTTAGAATAAAAACTGAAATATTCCTTTTAATCATGATTATACTAGCAGAAAACAAATACATCAAGTGTTAACTCATATATTTTAATGATCCATGTACTTCCACGCAGATTTCACTATTCACAAAAATTTAGGGTCACCCATTTTGTAAGGATGACCAAGAACACCAAAGTACATTGAAGACCTACATCCCACTTTGTACGTTTTTCTAAATAGCGAGTATCGTGCATGTGAAAATATTAATTAAATCAAATTACTAGCCGCATACATAAGATTGAAGCTAAATAAATGCATAATTAGTTTAACAGCCATAATTGCATTTTGCTCAGAGATAAAGGGAAAGGTAAAATCCTACATTTGATCCACCACTAATTAATCCATTCTAACCTGAGTATCACTCCCTTTCTCTATGTTTTTGTTATTCCTCTGGACTCCAGCAACATAACCAGTTGAGTGATTGCTTGCAGTCTCATTTTCTGAAGTGACTTCAACCTTTTCTTGAACGTCATTTCTCACACTGGATGACTGAAACCAATGTTGATCAGATGCAATTTAGAATTCTGTCATTCATAGTTGACCCCAAAATAATAGTAGTAATAATAATAATGGTCAGAGAATCAGGACTAGCATACTGCTTGTCTTCTCCAAACATGTTGCCAAAGATTTCTCAGTTCATTTCTCCTTAGGGGCTTGAGAAGATAGTCTGCAGCACCTTTCATCATGCATTTGTAAACGGTGCTGATAGAATCTTCAGATGACATCACTGCATGGAGTGAAATGGCAAGTGATTAGAACTAGTTATTGCATAACATAAAGCAGATCTCAGATATGCACATTCCTATCCATCAGTCTTTTCAAGAACATACTTATAACAGGAATATTTTTGCAAGTCTCATGCTCCATGATCAGAGTTAGTAGAGCAAATCCAGAGATTGATGGCAATTCAACTTCCGCCAATATAAGGTCTACATTACGGGGCCTTTCTTTGAGAATTTCCCAAGCTTTCAAGCCATCGGGAACAGCAGCAACTGTTTAAACAAGAAAAACCAAATTGTTCTTCAGTTGGAAAAAGGTCA